AAAAAAAAACACTCTCTTCTTGCTCTACAATTGTGACAACACACAGGTCCTGCTCGGTGCATTGACAGGTCTGCTTATTGCCTTTGCTATCGGCGCCGCCTTCCTGGCCGTCTTCTACACGCAGGTCAACGATCTGTACGGCAAGGCAGAGGAGCTTTGGGAGGGTATCTTCAACCTCGTCGCCGTGCTCCTCATCACGCCCATGTCGCTCGCCATCCTCCGCGCCGGTAACAGCAAGCGCAAGTGGAAGCGCAAGCTCGAGAGTGCCTTCAACGACCGCCACATCCAGCCAGCCCGTTTGCGCGACGAGGAGGGCGAGTCCACCGCCGTCAACCGCGGCATCTCCTCGAACGACGCCGCTTCCTCTTCCTCCTCGTCGGCGCGTCGTGCTGCCAATGCTAGCGGCGACGATGAGGCACACCCCAAGACCACCGCCACCGAGAAGCTCAACCCGCTCGAGGCGGTCGACGTTGTCCCCACCATGTCTCAGAATGCCCAGGCATCGCGTCCGCGTCGAGGTCTGCGTGGCCTGTTCTCCAAGCCTTCCGGTGCGGTCAGCGATCTCAAGCTCAGGATGAACCGCGGTACGCTCGCGCTCTTCACCATCCCGCTCATCACCACGCTTCGTGAGGGTCTGGAAGGTGTCGTCTTCATCGGCGGTGTCTCGCTCGGTCTTCCCGCCACCTCGATCCCACTCCCGGCCATCGTCGGACTTGGCGTGGGTCTTCTCATCGGCTACCTCATCTTCCGCTCGGGCAACGTGCTGTCCGTTCGCATTTTCCTCGTCGGCTCCACGTGCTTCCTGCTGCTCATCGCCTCGGGCATGGCCAGTCGTTCGGTCTACTATCTCCAGTTCTATGCTTATGTGCGTCTCGTCGGCGACTCTGCCGCCGAGTCGGGCAATGGTCCCGGCTCGTACAACTCGCAGGGTTACATCTGGCATCTCAACTGCTGCAACCCCGAGGCCAACAAGGGCGGCACCGGTTGGGGCATCCTCAACTCGCTCGTCGGCTGGAACAACACCGCCACCTACGGCTCGGTGTTTATGTACATCGGATACTGGTGCGCCGTGGCTGGCTATCTGTGGTACCAGATCTGGAGGGAGGGTCGTCTTGCGCTTCGATGGAACGGCAACACCGTCTGGGAGTCGCAGCGTGCCATCCGCATGCGCGAGGCAAAGCAGCTCAAGCTCCAGAACCGTCTCCAGGCCTCGCAGGTCGTCGCCGATGAAAAGGTCGCACAACCAGGCCCCTCCTCCCTTCCCAACTAATCCCCAGGTCCCATTCAAACGGATGCGCCCATGTAAAATCTCCTTCTTTGTATCCATTGCGACTGAACACAAAACGCACTAGAATCTGCTCTCGTCATGCAAAGGTCGTTGTACCGTGGTTAGGATTCTGGTCTTTGCTTGTAACGATGCGAGCGAGAAGGGAAGGATAATGGACTCCGACGTGGATGGTGGCATTGGATGTGGATTTACTGCGTCTTCTTGTCGCCCGAGATGGGGTCCTTGCGCACGCCCATCTGGTCGGGTGTCTGCACCTGCGCGAGCTGGGCGACGGCAAAGTACACGATCGGCACCAGCACGCCGCCAACGAGCAGCAGCACAAGGAGCAGGGGTGTCGAGAAGAGCTAGACCAACAAAAGCAGTGTAGTTCATTCAAAGTTGTATGGTCAGAAGACGGCACTCGTCGAAAGTAGTCGGCGTGTGACAACATACCTGGTACTTGGCAAAGACGCCGCCTGTCGGCTCGACCCACTTGTCGTCCGAGCTCGAAGGCGATGCCGCGACCTGTACGACAATGAGTTCAGGTGTATGAGAACAGAGGAAACGGCGATAGAGGTCAGGTCTCGGTCTGAGAGGGTGGACGAATGTGAATGAGAGTCACTCACCTGGCGCTTGGAGTGCTGGTGTGTCCCAGTGTTGGCGCGCAGCAGGATGATGACCAGGTTGCGAGGATACGCGTCGTCCAGTTCCTCGATGAACTGCAGCAGGTCCGACTCTATGTGGCAGGGTAAAGTTTCACAACGTCAGCTGTGATCGACGTTCGGCATCCTGGGTCATTTTCGGAAACATACCTTGAGTTCGCAAGTCGTCAATGGGCAGCTCGAGCAAATGCGGTGCATGCTTGTTGCCCGGCAAGTCGCGCTGCGATCTGGTGAAGTCAAAGTCGTGCGGCAGACTGAGATTAGACAAGATCATTCGGGAAGGCTTGCATGTCTTGGCAAAGGCGCTGTTGATCTTCTGGAAAGGGTCGACTTCCGGCTGCGCGTTGAACGTGATTTGCTCGGGAGCTTCGAGCGACCTGGCACGCAGCGAGTCAGTCGACGAGTGTCGGAGGCTGGCAAACGTGTTGCCGTCGAGCTTCTCGGCGCGCACGATCGCGATGGCTCCAAGGTCGCACGCAGCTGGCTTCTGGCGAGCGCCAAAGACCGAGTTCAAGAAGCCAGACGATTTTGCGTCCGAAGATGGCTCGACCGCGAAAAGCGAGCTGACAAAGGTAGAGAAGCTGGCGTCGGCGGGTGCCTCGAACTGGAGTGCAGGGCTCTGCTGCGAGGTGAAGGCCAGCACGGGCGATGCAGTGCGGCTTGCTGAGGCGCAGGCAGCAGCGCTCAGCAGCGATGCAAGCGCGAACGTGGTGCGCATCGTGTCGGCAGGGGTATCGGTGGGATGGCAGCGATGGATCGAAAAGGTGCGATGATGGACGAGGCGACGCAAGGCCAAAGGTGGTTCGTGCTCAGTTTGTGTGGTGTGCTGCCACACAGGGGCCGCTTCCGCATCCACTCAAAACGCGCTCTCCGAGCCGGCTCCGCTCATTTTCGAGCCTTTTGAATCTCATCGCCATTTCCAACCCCATCTCCCGATCCGATCGTCTTCCTGTAGTGTCGGTGGCGCGTGACGCAACGACCTCTGCGCCAACCTACGCCCTTCAAGCAAGACCGAGCCTGATCTACGCTCCTGACACCCTGCCAGCATGCTTCGGTACAATGACTGATAGCTTGAGACTCCGTGCCGACCGTGGCGATCGCACAATCCGTGCGCGCCTCCAGCGGCGGTCGGGAGATCTATTCATTTCATGTCTCTATCTAAGCCGGATGCTGTTCGGCACATGAGGAGGGTCAAAATTCGTAGCGCAAGTAATGCATTACACCGACGTGTAGCCTCCATCAACGATGAGGTCGCTTCCAGTGGTAAAAGCAGAAGCGTCGCTTGCAAGGTAGACGACGGCGCCCTTGAGGTCCTCGGGATCGCCGAGACGGCCCATGGGCGTGAGGTTCTCCCAGGTAGTGCGCAGCTCCTTTCCGTTGGGGCTATTCTCGAGCACAGCTCGGCTGAGCGAGGTGAGCATGTAGCCAGGCGAGAGCGAGTTGACGCGGATGCCAGCCTTGGCCCACTCGACGGCCATGGAGCTGGCGAGATGCTTGACGGCTGCCTTGGACGCATTGTACGGCGCTTGAGCCTGCGGCACATTGACGACCGATCCGGACATGGACGCAATCATGACGATGGAGCCCTTGGTCTGGTCCTGCATCATGCACTTGGCCACCTCGCGGGCCACAAAGTAGGAGCCGTTGATGTTGATGTCGAAGAGCTTCTTGAGCTTGGGCGTGGGGTATTCGGTGGCCGGGTAGTTCTCCACTATGCCGGCCGAGTTGACGGCGACGTGGATCTTGCCGAAACGCTTGTGGATGCGGCCGATGACGTCCTGCACCTGCGCCTCGTCCGAGATGTCGCAGCCGTAGCCTTGGATGTCGAGCTCGCCTGGCTTGACACCGCCGTGCTGGGTGAACCACTCCTCGACCTCGCGCGCGGCGTGCTGGCACTCGTCCTCGTTCAGGTCAACGATGGCCACATGGTTCGCGCCCGACTCGACAAAGGTACGTGCGATCAAGTTGCCGATGCCACGCGCCGCACCCGTGACGACGCACACCTTGCCCTCCATGGAGAAGCTGGCGAGCGTTCGTTGCGTGTGACGGCCGACGCGACCGCCGGTAGTGTTGTGTCCGACGTCATCAGCCGGATGACGCGAGCTGTCCTCCGGATACGGCACCACAACATCGTCTTTGGTCGAAGCGAAGGGAGCAGTGTCGAGCGGCTTGGCCTTGCCCTTGTTGTCCTGGCTCATGCTGCGAGACGAGCTGGCAAACGCACGCGCGACCGCGGACGGACGCGCCGAGGTTCGCGCCGCTAGGCGGGCGGTGGGTGCCAGCATTGGGAGAACGCGGGCTGTGCGCGCTGCTGTTGCTGGGTTCGTCCACATCGGTGATATTGGTGGGTTGGGCAGATGCTTGTGATGGATGAGAAGGAAAGCTAGAGATGGACGGACCTGATTATGTCTGGTCTGCTTTGGGGGAGGGGGAGGTCGGTCGCTCACATCGCATTGGCGGTGCTTGGGTCACAGTCTCCGTTGGAGTTCTGTCGCGGCAGCTGAGCGAACGTCCTGCGGGCCCGGGCCGGCAGCCGAGACGTTCTTCGCAGGAAATTTTCGGCAATGCACAGACCAACTGACCTGTCAAAACCTTCGCTCACCGTCATCCCCACGCGGTACACGTTCGCACCAGGCTGAGTGTCGACCCCGAAGGCGGCGCGATCTCTGAGACAGACTCGACAATTGCAGATCATCTCTCCGTGGGCCTGCTCATCCGACGTGGGGGTCTCATCGGCATGGGAGACTGATCTACCGGTTGCGGCATGCACGCTCGGAAAACGGTGGGGGAGCCGCGAGCGGACTGCTTCGCATGGGTGGCGAGGGTGACAAGGGTCAGCGAGTGGGAGAGCCACGAGCAATCGACGGGCTTCGGTGATTTCTTTTCGCCGACGCGTCACCCCCTCTCCCACAATGCGGGTTGCGGTGCCTGAGCGACGCCTGCTTTCATTTTCCGGTCCAGTGCAGCCCCGTGTTGCGAGTTGGGCCCAACATCTTCCGAAACAGGCTCGGCGAGATCGCGGCTTTGCACCTGCCGATGCCCGAGGCTGAGTTGGCCGGCAGGGAGCCTGGTCCAGGCAGCCTGATCGTGCCGTGGCCCTCTGTGTGGTGGGAGAGCGTGCATCTTGTTGCCGCCCACAGTGCTACGTTGACAATCGCCGATCTCCGATTTTGTGATGGACTCTTCGGCGTCGATCCGGCCTGCGTTCCATCAGCAGCGGGCTTGCAGCCCACACCTCAATCACAGTGTGTGTGCGGGAGAGATGGGATACCAGAAGCGAGAAAGACACCGGAGCGCGGCGTCTTCTCAGGTTTCTGACTGGCTGGAGGCACTGAGAGAGGCTACTATCTCAGACAGGCACCGCCCAGCGGGGCAAATGCCCGGCTCGCGGGCCTCCAGGATTTTCGAAGTTGGACTTGGCGGTGTGGAGGCTTTGAAGCGACTCGGCAACTTTCTTCGGGCTTGGCCCGACCGTCACTGTGCACGTCCCTCCCACGCCTGCGAGCGCTTTCCCCCCCACTTTGAATTCGAGCGTCGGGCGTCGAGCGGATGCGGGGCAAGAATGCAGCTCCCACTGGTGGGGCTAACGGCGTTTCGCTGTCCCGCCCCTCCAGTCGCCAGTCGCCAATCGTCAGTGTCGGATGATTGGTCGTCGCAGAAGAGAGCAGATCCGGGCCTCGAACTTTTTGCAACGCTGGTGGCGACGGTGCCTTGATCCGTGCCCCACACACACGCTCAGTTGGGCAGAGTCTGGAGGAGGCAGTCGAGTCTGCTTGAGAAGCCGAATCCGTTCGCCACCTCCTCTTCCAATCTGGTCACTCTTCCTCATCCCGGTTTAAGCGCATCTCCCACCAGACCTTCCTTCACTACCCCCCACATCCCGCGGCCTGAGCATCCCGAACTGCAACACCAACTCGTCTCCCACACTCCTGCCTCATCTACCCATACCCTGCTTGCCGCTGCCGCTACTGTTTCTTTACCCGCCACCATACCCGCAGCGAGCACTCGTGCTCTGATTGAGATCCAAGATGGCGACCAAGCACGTTTTTGACAGCGCCACCGGCCTCGTTGACCGCAACCTGCGAGGAACCGTCGCCCAGAACCCAGCCCTTCGATAGTAAGTATCGGCGACGCCCAACGATTGCTGAATCGATGTTGACAACTCTTGCAATCCATTGACGACTTCATCGACCCTGCAGCTACTCTCCCCACAAGGTCGTCTACGACCCCTCGCACCCGAATGACAAGGTTGCCGTCATTTCGGGCGGTGGTGCGGGCCACGAGCCCGCCCAGGCTGGCTTTGTGGGCAAGGGCATGCTTGCTGCCTGCATCTCGGGCGACATCTTCGCCTCCCCCTCGGCTGCCCAGATCTGCTCCGGAATCGACCTGATTAACCACGACGCTGGTGTCATCATGGTCGTCAATAACTACACCGGTGACTGCCTGCACTTCGGTCTCGCCGCCGAGAAGGCCCGCGCCGCAATGGCGTACTCGGGCAAGAAGGGCGGTGGCGTCGAGGCCGTCATTGTGGCTGACGACGTTGCCGTGGGCCGAAAGCGCGGCGGCCTGGTCGGCCGACGTGGTCTGGCTGGCAACATCTTCACCTGCAAGATCCTGGGCGCCGCTTCGGACAAGGGCATGGAGGTGAAGCGCATCGCCGACCTTGGTCGAAACCTCATGGACAACATGGTGTCCATCGGCACTTCGCTTGATCACTGCCACGTCCCCGGCCGTCCCAAGGGCGCCGAGGAGCGCGGTGCGCTCGCCGAAGAGGCCGCCGAGCTCGGCATGGGCATCCACAACGAGCCCGGTTTCAAGCACATGGACAAGAAGCCCGAGCCCGAGGCTCTGATTGGCGAGATGCTCGACCTGCTGCTCAACCCTGACGACGAGGACCGCGCCTACACGCCGTTCGACAAGGACGACGCGCCCGTCCTGTTTGTCAACAACCTCGGCGGCATGAGCCAGCTCGAGATGAACGCCATCGTAGACCTCACCATCGAGCTGCTCGAGAGCAAGTGGAGCCTGCACCCTTGCCGCGTGCTCTGCGGTCCGTACATGACCTCGCTCAACGCGCCTGGCTTCGGCATCTCGCTCATCAACCAGAAGCGATTCCAGAAGAACACGGGCGAGGACCTGCTTGAGCTGCTCGACTACCCGACCACCGCCTACTCGTGGCTCGGCGTCCAGTCGGGTTGGGGCTCTGCTCAGGGCCACCCGCGTGACCGCAAGGCCGAGGAGAAGGAGGCGGCTGACCACCTTCAGTCCGTGCGCAAGGCAGGTGGCTCGGTCAGTGGTCTCGCCGACCCTGGCGCTGCCTCGAACGGCCCCGTCAACCCTGACCAGGAGCTGGTGAAGAAGGCCATCCTGTCTGCATGCGCCGCTACGGTCGAGATCGAGCCCACGCTCACCCGCTACGACACCATCGTCGGTGACGGCGACTGCGGAGAGACGCTCGCCCAGGCGGGTAACGAGGTGAAGAAGGCGCTCGAAAAGGGCGAGATCCCCCTCGACAACGCCGCAGGCACTCTCATTGCCATCGGCGAGGTGCTCGAATACGCCATGGGCGGCACCTCGGGTGCAATCTACGCGCTCTTCTTTGCTGGCCTCGTCCAGTCGCTCCTCTCGCAGCCCTCGGGCACGCAGGCGGATGCCCAGGTGTGGGGCAAGGCCGCCCTGGATGCGCTCGAGAACCTCGGCCGCTACACGCCCGCTCGCCCCGGCGACCGTACGCTGGTCGATGCTCTCGACCCCTTCTGCCGCGCGCTCGGCGCTGGCAAGTCGCTCACTGAGGCCGTCGACGCCTCCAAGGTGGGCGCCGAGAAGACGCAGGCTATGACGCCGCGTCTTGGCCGTGCCACCTACGTCGGCTCCAAGGACCAGGGTGAGATGCCCCCTGACCCGGGTGCGTGGGGCATCTGGGCCCTCACCGACGGCCTCCGCAAGGGCCTCGCTCAGTAAATCGAACCCACCCAAGGCCGTCCGGCCCAACTAGCACCTGAATCTCTGCCACATAGGCCGTCTTTCTCTTTCTCTTTCTCAGCTGTGATCACATATTGCAGCTCGCTTCTCATGGTTACCTAGCAATGCCAATTGTCTCGTCCAAACAAACGCATCGGCTTGTAACGTGTGTGGGATGCAGCTCTAATTCGCATCCGAGCGGCGATCCAGCGGAAGTGCGCGGAAAGTTGCAGCCGAGAAGGCTCGTGTCATTGTCCCCCCTGTGGCTATGTGGGGAGAAGGTCAGTCGCCGGCGTTGCTCATGAAGTGGCCATGCGCAAAGTGACGCAAACGGCCATTGGCAAGGTGGGCGCGTGGGTCTCTTTCGGCCGTCTTTTTGTCAGCCGTGAAAAATCGCCGCCGCAAACGATGACATGACGCGCCGAAAGTGGAGAAGATCAACACTTGGCCGGCCTTTTTTGACGGCCCTTTCGGGAAGCTTGTTTGGCAGCGGCTGAATGCAGCTCGGCCCTGCGCCCTCGATCCAAACGATGCACGTCGGTTGCCAACGGATTGCCAACGAGTGGCGTAGGGGCGAGATGAATGCAGGGTGGGGCCTGGCAAGCACCGAGCTGCATGAGGTTTTCCAAATTTTTGGGAGCTCTAGACTGATCCGACGGCACACGTCGGATGCATCCAACTGCACGGCGCCGATGGTGGCCTGATCGTGAACGCCGCCCAAAAGAGGCACGAACCCCTGCAAAAACATGCACACCACCAGGCGGAGCAGCCGCTGCCAAGCTTACAACAAAGGCTTTGTGTGCCGCTCCACACAATAAGCAGTTGCCGTCTGCTGCTCGCCGCCTCGGCATTCCCTGCTGCTCATCCACTTTTTTTAGATCCCCCCTGACCATCACCAACCCACCCTCCCCACTACTTCATATCCGTCCTGAAGTCATCGTGCCGCCCTCTTCGCGGTGACTTTGCAACACTCCTGCTTGCTAGACATACCCACTTTTCCGTTCGCGATACCCATTTCCAGCTCAGAGGCTGTCGAGACGATACCTGCCGCGCGGTCGTTGGACAGTATATAGAGGTCCACTCTACATCGAGCCGCTTCATCTTTGCTCTTTGAACCACATCGCCCACGCCAAAGGATCTTTCAAGCCTAAAGATACACCATGCCGCGCCTCAAAGTCCAGGTCGGATCCGACCGCTTCCACATGGAGGACTGCCGTCTCAATGATACCCTGCATCCCCACGAGATCGAAACGGAACACTTTGTCGGTCGCATCCTCGTGCGCATCCTCGACGCACCCGGTGCCAAGCAAGGCGAGCAGGGTCGCGAGTACTTTGAGGGCCGCTCGCGCAAGTTTTGCATCCAGATCGAGGGTCGCTTCAAGCAGCGCTGGAACGGCAACGACATCCTCTTCGGCACCGACTTTGACAAGTTTGTCGACTTCCCACGCGCACCCTTCAACGCCGGCATGAAGGTCGCCAAGTACATCGACCCGTGTACCTTCTACGAGCTCCATCCGGAGTCGGGCCGGCCATACATCATGTCTCCGTACATCGCCTGCATGAACACATTCTGTGCTTGGCCCGCGCCGTCGCGCGCGCACGACGCTGTGGTGGTGCTGCGCCACACCCACCGAGCCAACACGCCTGACACGTCGCGCGCCGCAACGCCCATCATTGACCCGGAAAAGTCGAACAACAACCCCCAGAATGCGCTCGTCGCCAGCCCGCACGCGAGCGGCGACGAGGACGAGGGAGACATTGTGCCGCGCGAGTCGCTCGACCGCAGTCGCAGCCAGAGCGAAAAGAGCGCCGCAGCTGCTGCCGCCAAGAAGAAGAAAGGCTGGTTCGGCGGCTTCGGTGGTGGAAGCGGACATGCCAAGGAGGAGCGCATCCTCAAGAAGTACTGGCGCTTCGTAGGCTTCAAGGACGACCCGCGCGTCCGGGCGCTGCTCGAGGCGCATCACGCCAAGCTGCGCAGCTCGCACAACAACACGGACGCTGCGCTGCACAACACCCACGCCGTCGTACGACAGGGTAGTGTGGGCAGCGTCGGCTCCAACGACGTCCAGCACGGCCCTGGTGGCCAGACGCTGTCGGTGCTCGGAATGGGCAAGAGGGCCGAGATCGACCGCACGCCGGATCGCGCCCGTACGCCAAACCACGGCTACGGCGCCGAGGACATGCCCTTATCACCGCGTGTTGGCAGTGGCAGCTTCGCCGACATTGGCGCTGGCGATATCGCCGCTGCCCCGCCTGGTGACGTCAGGGACGACGATGCCGCGGAAGCCACCGCCAACGGACCGACACTGGTAGCGCCTAAGCCCAAGCATGGCGTAGCCGTGCCGCTCGACGAAGCTGACGCTCCGGCGCCCACGCCATCGGCCGCTGCGCCGTCGAACCCGGCAGCCGCAGCCTCGACGAACGCGGAAAAGCCCGAGATGCCCAAACTGGAGCGCATCGCCACGGCGGTTCGGCATGAGATGGAGGAGTCCGCCAAATCCGACGGTCTCAAGGACGGCGATTTCAAGCTTGCCGACACGCTCGCGCACACTCACCTCAGCCGCAGCAGCAGTGCACAAGGCCGACCCGATGCGCCTCCCTCGAAGCTGGATGAGCAGCTTGGACCATGGCGCTTCGCCGACCCTGGCACGGACATGATCGAAGACAACGCGTTCATCTTCACCACCCAGTCGCTGCCCGTGCCCCGACGCCGCAAGCACTTTGCCAACGAGAAGAACCGGCTCGACTTCCACTACGACCCGGACGTTGTGTATGGCGCGTCGTTCTTTACGGATGCGATGGACTTCAACACGTTCAACCTCGGCATCGGGCCGGTCAAGATCAACGTTGCCAAGTGGTTCCACGACATGCCGGTGAGGTATACGCTCCGGAGCACCACGGACGAGAACCTCACTTTTGCCACCATCAGCTTTCAACTCGTAGACGAATAGACGCCGCCCTGCGGATGCATTATGTTGGGATAATCTGAGACTGTTTGAAGCCTGCATCATGCGTCTGTGATAGGTCGGCAGAAGTCGAGCGCACAAGCGATTCATGGCTGAGGGTTGCAGCGTGAGAGGTTCGACACGCCGAGCAAAACAAGTACATTGCTTCCAGAAGATAGGGGATCGGGAGACGCAGCCATAATCTCGATTCAATACACGAGGGGAAGCGGGGTTGTTGCGCAGGGGATGTAGTTCAGCGAAAAGATCTTTACTTGCCCTTGGCAGCGCCCTTGGCGAGGTCCTTGTCGAGCTCGGACTGTTTTGCCTGACGTGCGAGCTTCATCTGCTTCTTCTTTGCGACGGTGTTGAAGTAGGTGGCGAGGATGAAGCGGATGAAGGTGAAGAAGGGCTCCCACACCACGGCGGGGAGGTAGTTCTGGGCGACGGCGATGGTGATGGGCGAGGTGGTCCAGGTGACACGCATGACAGGCCAGAAGGCGGCCTTGACGGCCCGCTTGATGTTGTCGACGCCGCGTGCGCCGTTGATGTAGGCCATGCACGAGAGGTAGACGGTGTTGGCAAACACCGATACGGTGAGGTTGGAGGTGATGATCTGGAGGATCTTGTCGCGCGTGGTGGTGCGGCCGACAAAGGCCTTCTGCAGCAGACCGGTGAGCACGTGGCCCATGGGTGCCGAGACGAAGAAGCCGTAGACAAACATCTTGAGCGCGCGCTCATTGATGCCGAGCTTGGCGGCATACGCCTGAAGCAGACCGACGGGGTTCTGCTGCGCCTGACGCTTCTTCTCATCCAACGACGAGGGGGTCTTGGTGGCGGTGGGCGCGACACCAGCGAAGTGACCCGCAAGCACCTCAGCCAAGGCAGAGAGCACACCAGATGTGATCATCCTGAGCAGAACGGAGCAGAGAGAGCACCGACAGGTCAATGCTTGCCTTGTCAAATACACAAGGGGACTGGAGATCTCTGACTTACTTGGTGCGGAGCGGATTGGCGGCGAGCGCCGAGAGGTAGCCGACGAGCAGCGGGTTGGTCGTCAGGGGCGACGGCTTTGCAACGACAGTCGACATTCTGTATGCACCGGCAAGGAGAAGGCGTGCAGTGCAAAGTGGGCAGTCGAAGCAGAAGGTCAGCAGCTGTCTTGTGGTTCCGTCATCAGGCAAAATGCGAACAGCTCGAAAGATCAAAGAGCTCAAAACAACGACATCCAGAAGAATGCTGCGGGTGGTTGGGGTCCGTGCGAGCGGCAAGGCCTTGTACTGGTGACGAAAGGCGGTCGGACTCACTTTACAAACGGCTTGATTGGAGAGTGTGGAGAAGGTGTATGCGTGAAGCTGAGTGCGAATCGATGCTTTCGATAGCGTCGTTGAGGATGATGGTGGCGGTAACACGAGCTTCGACCGACGAGCCACAAGGGCGGCACTGGAAGCCGGCGACCGGCCGGACGCGCTCAGGGCAGGGTCTCGTCCGGCGCGCTGCTCCCGCCGCTTCTCCACACGTTTCCAGGCACACGCGCGCTTTGGCTCGCGCGCCCCAAAACCTTCGTTGCCATGACCAGAAGCGCGCGCTAGCCGGAATACCCGGTCACGCTTCGCCAGCCCCCGGTCACTCTCCGCTCGGCCCACTGTCCGAAGTGAGGTGAAGAGGCTCCCACGCCCTCTTCTGCCTGACGCCACGACTCATCGGAGCTGGCCGACAGTCAAAGATGAGCCTTGATTTCAGCCATGACCACCTTCAAAGCAAAGCATGCAGGTGTCATCGAGGCTGAGCCACATGCCCACGTTCTCACCCAGCCCACCCTTCGCGCTTTGCGGTAGACTCGCGGCACACAGCAGTACCGGGTCCAGAGCAGGATGGAGCGAACCATGCCTGTGGTTTTGCGGGGAAAAAAGGGTCTCGGCGAAAGAGTCCAGTCTGCCAACACCTCCTGTAACCCGAGAGAGAGAGACAGGTGACCTTCGGCCGTACCAGCACTGCCTGAACGCTACCATTTCGCACGGGAGCTAGACGAGATTCTAAACCGCTAGCCGGTAAATGCGGGGTCAGTCCCGAGCGGAAGCTTTCTTCGAATTTGTTAGGCCGACACATGGACCTCGATCGTTATTCTTCCATCCTCTCGCGCGACAGACGAGCCGCGAAAATTGCCCGACGCGAAGCAACGACCAACATCGAAGAGCTCGATTTGCATCCACGCCTCGGCCGTTTTCTCGCAAGGTCATCCATGTCCCCACGGCGCTCTTGCTTCGACACCACCACGACCATCCGTATTTGCTTGCTCAATAGCGCCGTCGCAAGCTTAGGCTGTTCCCAAGATGTTCTGTGCGAGTAAGTTTGTAGTCCAGCTGCGACATCAGAGCTGCAGAGATCCAAGTCCTTGCGCACCTACTCACCATTCTTCTCCACTTGGTCCTCGCTGTCATTCTTCGGACAGTCTCTGGAGAGCCTCCAAAGGTTCCCGTCGTGTCCAGAAAGAGCGGTCTCATCTACGAGCAGCGTCTCATTAACAAGTACATCAACGATAATGGCAAGGATCCCGTGACCGGCGATGCGCTCGAGCTCGACGACCTCATCGAGATCAAGTCCAGTAAGTTCCCCATCAACCACAACTCAAGCGGCCGCCGAAGATCTCGAGACGCGGATGTGGAAGCGAAGTGTTCCGCGTTCATGTGCAGTGCAACCACATAGGATGAAATCGCTTTCTCAAAAAACTACATATCAACTAGAAGCTGTTGATGAGCCTTCGGGCGACGACTACAACACGAGATCTGACACGCACCTGCACATGCGCGCAACACCACTTCCACACACTGCTGTCCAATCATGAGGACGACGCTTCGCTCGTCATCCGAGCATCGTGATGTTGATGAAGCTGACACTATGAATGTCTTGCATTTTGCTGTCAACGCAGATCCCAAGACCGCTGTTCCCCGACCGCCGCAACACAGCTCGATCCCGTCCTTGCTCACCTCGTTGCAGAACGAATACGATGCGATCATCCTCGAGACCTTCACGCTCAAGAAGCACTACGATAACCTTCGACAGGAACTGGCGCATGCGCTCTACGCCAACGATGCGAGTGCACGCGTCATTGCGCGCTTGCTCAACGAAAGGGACCAGGCACGCGAAGCGCTCGCCAGCATCCAGGGCACGATCGGTGCCGGACCCTCCTCATCCAAAGCGGCACACGACGTCGAGATGACCGATTCCGCACCTGCCGGCAATGGCGCCAGCAACGCCGCAGCTGGCAACGGTCTTTCCACCGAGGTGGTCGAGATCATCGACGCGACTGCGCAGCGATTGTCGTCGCAGCGCAAAGCCAAGTCGAAGCGCAAGGCTCCCGAGGGCTATGCCACGCAGTCTTCGGTCGCCAGCTTTGCTGAAACGCAAAAGTTGCCCTCGATGCACCACGCCAAGCCGGCGGGCGTCAGCTGTCTCGCACTTTCCGCCGACGGAAACGTGCTGGTCACGGGCGGCAACGACAAGAACGTGCAGGTATACGACCGCAAGGAGGATAAAGTGCTGGCGACGCTCAAGGGACATACAAAACGCATCACGCGCGTGGCCGTGTCCGGCGCCTCGGACGCTCCGATCGGCTCGGAAGCCGCAAGCGACGAAGCTGCGCTGCCGAGCTACGTCGTGAGTGCGAGCGAAGATGGCAAGGTCAAGGTGTGGACACCGACCGGGGCGACGGGAGCCAAGGCGCAGGCGTATGCTGTCGCGCACACCGGGTCGCCGCACCAGGGCGAAGTTACGGGGCTGGACGTGCATCCGTCTGGAGCGCTGTTCGGCAGCGCGGGCCGCGACGGTACGTTGAGCCTGCGATCGCTCGACGACGGTTCCGAGCTGCTTCGCGTCGATGCTGGGCTGGGTGATGCGTACGAGAGCTTTGCCTTCCACCCGGACGGCCAGCTCGCGGCCACGGGCACTGCCCAAGGCGCGATCCGTATCTGGGACATCAAGACGGGACAGAATGTGTCGACGCTGCAGACCGAGCTGTCTGGGCCCGTCACCGCGCTGCACTTCAGCGAGAACGGCTACTACCTCGCTGCGGCCAGCGACCAGGCCAAGGCGGTCGAGGTGTGGGACCTGCGCAAGCTCACCGCCGCCGGAAAGATGACTGTGGAGGAAGAAGGCAAGGGCGGTGTCTCGGCGGTGCGCTTTGACCCTTCGCTCCAGTTCCTTGCGGTTGCAACCGACAGCGTGACGGTGTATGCCAACAAGTCGTGGGCCCAGCTCGCGAGGATGGAGGGCACTGCCAACTTGACCGGACTCGACTGGGACCACCGCGACGGCAGCATCGTCGTGTCGAGTCTCGACCGAACTGTGCGCACTTTCGGCGTGTCCGCCTAGACGCATCCGCCATCTCGAATGCAATCTATACCTCGCTCTGGCATCGTGTGCTGTGGGTGTCTAGCGCTCTGGGCGAGAGATTTTCGCTGCCCCAAATTTCTCGCCTTTTTAGCCCCGTTCTTCTCTTCCGCACACGACCCTGCTTTCATCACTGGCTCGAGGAGCGAATTAGACGGGAGCCCTTGGATCGGAGCGCACAATGGCGGTATTTCACACTACGGTAGGCAGACGCTTGAGCATCTAGGTGAATGGCTGCCTGTATGGTTATGTCCGAGCTTTCAGGGTCCAATCGGGACCAGAGCCGCAGGGCTGAAGGATGGCCGGGGCGACGATCCTGCTATATAGTGAGTTGCTCAGCTCGTTGATCTTACCCGATTGTCACGGAAGTACGGGAATGCCCAAATAGAGCTAGGTCGCTCCGTTTCGAGCGTGAGAGTAGCTCATGCATATCTGCCAGCTTCGCACACACAACACACGAGTGGCTCCGAGGGGCTCTGCGGGGTTTCGGTAAAGTATCGCTGTTGGGATGACACTCGATCGGAGCCAGAAAGATCGGAGGCGATCGTCATCATCGATCTACGCCTTCCCATCACGCGCGTCGAGTTAGCCGTGTGCAGAGCTGCAAATCCGCCAGTCATCGAGGTGAAACCCGTGCGATTTTTCAATCCTCTGGCAGAATTCACTGATGGGGCTGAGTCGATACCTCGAGCTGTTTGGCCGTGCCTCATTCTGCCTGTCCACATCTTCCGGGGCGCCGCGGTTAATTGCCGACCGGAATATTTGCTGTCATTCGGACTGACACGCACGCATCGCGAATCGGACCGCAGAAGAGCCCTGGGCCGCCTGGCGAGTTGACAAATTGCGTATGACCGGCAGAAGAAAGGACAACTTCGCGGACATATCATACAGTAGCTCGCGCAAATGGTGGCGCTCATCACACACACAATCAGCAAGGCCACCATGTTTGCGGACCTGGATGTGCTGCTGGCCATTGCCCTCGGTGGCCCCTCGGTGAGTTTTGAAAATGGAAGAATTTCATTGCCTGCAACAGCGAAGACCGCGGGTGCCGGATCGAGCCTGCGACCGAGATGCCGCGGGATTAGCAGCGTACAAGCAGGCTCAATCTGACCTCTTCTTGGGCTCTCGATGTGAAGCCGGTCATACGTCCTCACACCAGAGCATTTTCTTGGCGCTCTGCCATAGCGGGCGCCGCCAGATCGAAGGCAAGGCGGTACCCGCAAACCGCCGAGCGCATGGCGAGCGGGTCAGCTTTGATGTGTTGGTGGGAACGAGCTAGCCCACGGAGCGAATGGCCCGCCCGCGTCTGCAGATTTTTTTTTGATTTTTTTTCGGCTGCTTCGAGAGCGTGAGGAGCGAGGCCCGAGCCAAGTCCGCGGAGTCACGCAGGATGACATCTGAATGCTCCGACTCAGCTCCGCGGTTCTGCCCAAGATCCGAACAATGAGCCAACGCCTCTCTCTATTTGGCATTGGCTTCCCTCTTCCGGAACTGTCCAGGCGGCACATCCTCCGCCCGAACCCGCAGACACACTCCGTCCAGCCATGGTGCTAGGATTCCAAATCGGCCTTTTCGGTCACACGCCGCATGAATCCTAGCCAGGCGCAGTCGCAGGACTGCTGTATTCGTCTGCGATCGTCGGCCTTGAGCTACTGTAATGAAGCGGCTGTACCGAGTGGAGCGCACAAGAGGACGCAACGTGTGGAGGTCGGCCGGGAGTGTCACAGTCGTTGGGGAGGGCAGAATTTATGCTTCGAGCCCATAGAGGCCGTGGAGGCCCGAACCTCGGTAAGCGAAGCCTTCTTTCTTGCCCGTACCTTGCACCCGAACAAAAGCTTGAGCTGCACATCCCTACGTCCGGACCTCTGGTCTAGAATCGCCGCGGGCTTCCTCGCTATTCCCAGCCACGCCAATCCACCGTCACCTTCCCACCGCGGCCACATCTGCCGGCTTCGGACATTGTTGATTCTCCCCTCCGTACGTCCATCACCCTGCCACGCTCCCACCCGTCGCAGCGTCTCCAAGGATTGTCCGTGCAAATTCCGCTCCAGCCACCGTGCTCATCGTGTCCACCGACCCTGTCCCACCACACCCACGCGCGCCCCGAAATCTTCTTTGGCGGGCTTGCTCCTACCTTCATCAACCGCCCACCAACCTCACCACCGCCTCGACCGGATAGCCACACATCGACCAAACCGTCAGGATACCGGCTATCAAGCTGCTCCCGAGCGATTCTCACCATCTGCGCCGATCCGATGCCCCGGGAAGGACTCCCTCTATAACAATCGCCCCCACCCTCCATACGCTCCCACTCGCCCTTGTCTGGTGCACTCGCTTTCAGCAACTTTGCCAGGTCCTGCTCCGGATACACGCCGACACTTTAAACGGATTCTCGTTCAGGCGCAACACGGACTCTCGCGATCGATCGCACCGAGTTGCAGCCATGTACCAGCCCAACCTCTACCCACACAGCACGGCACCATCCGCTGATGCCATCTACCACCAACACATGATTCCGACGTCTGTCTACCCTACCGCACCACACATGGTTGCCACAGTATCGCAATCCGACTTGCCCACTGCCTTCTCCAATCCCGACATCTCCGCACACGCCGCCGACGCCTCGATCGACACCACCAACCAGGATGACGACGGCGATGCTGGCGGCAAGCGAAGAAGGGTTCAACGCGCCTGCGACGTAAGTAATCCTTTTCAATCAACACAATCCCGGTCGTAGCAGGCCGCGCGGGCTGCGATGCTGACCTTTTCCCTTTCCTTTCCTCGACCATTGGACAGACCTGCCGAAAGAAGAAAGTCCGTTGCGATGGCCTTCAACCCGAGAAAGGCGCTTGTACGAATTGGTAAGCTGCCAACGATGTTCATCCTTATCCAGGCCCACTTTGGATGCTGACATTCCTGCCAATCGATCCTCTGCTCCTTCCGACTCACCAGCGCCAACTACGGCTACGAATGCACCTTCATCGACGCCGCACGCAAACGTGCCCCTCCTCGCAGCTACGTCGAGGCCATCGAGGCACGTATCGTCAAGATGGAACATTTGATATCCTCGCTCGCGCCCGGCGTCGACTTTACAGACCGTATCGGCAAGCCCATCAGGAGGCCCGACGACAAGGGCGACGAGGCCATCAACGACACCAGCGGCGCACCTGCCTCCACTTTGGCCGGCGCTGACACTGCTACCGTCGCCCCACCGACGTGTGACACGCAACACGCCATGTGCGGCACTCTCTCCCACATGCTTGCTGCATCCCATTCCAAGTCGCGCAGCTCATCCGAACCCACCCTGGCCGACCAGAGCGACGAGGACTCGGAAGACGACATTGCCTTCATCGAATCCAGGATCGGCGCGGTCGACTTGAAGCCGCAACCCGTCGTCCCGTCCACCGCCAACACCTTTGACAGCATCAATTCCGAGCGCATCATCCTCGGTGAGGGAAGCAAGGCTGACCCAAGCTCGCAGAGCCTCCCGTCGCACAAGTTCATCGGCAAGGCAAGCGCCATGCACACCCTGCCCCTCCTCGAGAGGCTCAGCAGCAGAAACTACAGCGAGCTAGGCATTCACCCCAAAGGCGCGCGTCCCGAGTTTTGGGCCATCCCAACGGGCCTTCTGGATCCTCCCGCCGACCTCGATGCCGCAATGGCCGTCTTCCCTCCGTCCGATCTGGCCGACAAGCTCATCGACGTATTCTTTGCACGTCCCAACCGAGAATACCCCATCGTCAACGAAGCCCAATTCCGCCACGAGTATGCAAACTGTCCCGAGCTTCGCAAGGAACCCGACTGGCTGGCCATGTGCTTCTGCATCTTTACCGTTGCTAGTCCCTGCGTCGACGACCTCAGAACCAGGGCCTCGCCCGACGACCCGCTCTCGCGCGGAATGCACTGGTGGCAGGCTGCCAAAACACTCATCTATCGCAACTCGCAAATGCGCAAGCCGATCCGCCACATCCAGTGCCTCCTGCTTTCCACCCTCTTCCAGCTCGGCTTGCCCATCTCTGCCTCCGCATCCTGGTTACTCCTCGGCGCCGCGATCCGTTTCCTCCTCGACGTGGGAGCCCATCGTAGACAGGCTTCCAAGAAGCTGGGTCTCTCCAGACTCGAAGCAGAGACGATGAAGCGAGTCTTCTGGGTCGCCTACAGTCTTGACCGCGAGGCCGCCTCGTCCTTGGGTCGTCCCATCATGCTTCAAGACGAAGATATTGACGTTGAACTTCCCGTCGAGATTGACGACGAGTACCTCTTCAGCACTCCCGAGGGCGAACTGCTACCCATGCAGCCGAGCGACAAACCCGCCCTGATCAGCGGATTCCTCTGCTCGCTTCGCCTCGACGAGATCATCGGACGCACGCTCAAGACCGTGTATGCGCTCCAGAAGACCAAGATCCGCTATGGCGTCAGCTCAAAGGAGTGGGAGGAGAGATTGGTCACGGAGATCGACTCGGCTCTCAACAACTGGCTCGACACCGTTCCGCCGCATCTTCGCTATGACCCGCACGAGGCCGATGACGAGTGGCTGATCCAGTCGTCGCTCCTCTACTCCAAGTACTACCAGTGCCAGATCCTCGTGCATCGCCCCTTCATCCCTGCCAAGAAGGGTGCCAGCGAAAGCTCGATCCTCAATTTCCCATCGCTTGCCATCTGCACCAACGCCGCCCGCAGCATCAGCCATCTGACGCAGAGCCTCAGGGATCGAAATCTGCACAACAGCACCGGCATGTCGGTCGCCTTCCGAGTGGTCTCGGCCTGCACGATCCTCATCCTGGTTGTATGGGGCGCCAAGCGCAACGGCGGGCGAGTCTCGAGCTCGGCCACGACGGATCTGCGCCGCTCCATCGAGGTGCTTCGCTCGATGGAATCGGTATGGCAGTTCTGCGGCAAGGCTGTCGACATCCTCGAGTCCATCATGTCGTCCACCCAGACCAGCGTGACGCGCCAGGCATCCAACGACCAAGGCACCAAGCGATCGCGCGATGGTTCGGAAGTCGTAGATGTCAAAGTGGAAGGCGATGCACCGTGGGCGCAAGCCTCTCGGCCAAGAAACTCTGGCACGAGCAAGGCGGCAGCGGAGTCAGGCAGAGGGCGACACAAAGCGTCAGTCAACTCGGACTCGCCCGAGGCGCTTGGTGCGAGCGCGCAGCCTTTGGCGCCGGAGGCAAGGCAGCTGCCACTGTCCACGCTGCAGCTTGCTTCCATGACGCCGCAGTCGAGCGCGGAACAGTCGCCCTCTTCGGCAACCGACGCGAATCCACGGCCGACGGCCGAGGCTGCGTTGGCCGATCCGTTTGGGCCCAAGACGCCGCAACCGCCGCAGCGTGCGCGCATCCCGTCGTTGAGCGGCGCTTCGGGCCTCCCTGGCGCCCTGTCATTCGGCCTTCTGACACCGTCGGCGGGCAACTGGGCTGCGGGGATGGAAGCCGACTATTTGCAAGGCCCGCATGCACAGATGGGCTACCAGTCGATGCCCTCGATCACGCCGTCGATCTTTGACAACCTCAACCTGCCGCCGTCGACGGACGAGATGCTGCCTCCCAACGTCTCCAACCTGGCCGGCATGTCGCAGTTCAACTATGGCGCGAGCAGTAACAGCGCCAACGGGCTCGGCGTCCAAGGAGACGCCTACGGCAACTTTGGGCGGTACTATGGCGGTGGCGACAGTGCGTTGGGCGCGTCTCAAGGCCCAGAGGATGTGCGCGCACATACGGGCGATGCCAATACACCCCAATCCGACGGAAGCAACGGCCTAGCCTCGTACGCGTTTGAACTTCTTCAGAAGCAGAGCGTGTGGAACCTCGACGACGATTCTCTCAGCTTCCTCCAACAGTGCGGTCAGCAGAGCTGATTGCGACCCTTGCTTGAATCCCCCACCTCTCATTCTCTCGTTCTCTCCTTTTTGTATTATCTTGGGAATGCTCCCGTGTGTATCTGTAATGCTGACGCAAAGTCACAGTCTGCTGTTGGATTCGTGCTGCGCAAAGGCGACGGGGTATAAAGATGTGTTCGGGGTTTCGATCAGATGACAAAGACGCGTGTGCGGCGGAGACCGCCTGGACCGGAGGAGCCACGCAAGCCGGTGCTGAGCGCCGCAGGATGCTTGCGCTGGAGACGCGCAAAGGCTTCGTGGATGTGCGAGGCGAGCAGCGGCGTTTCGACCGACGGCGGCACGGAAAAGAGCGTACACAGCTCGTCGTCGGCTGCGGCTGCGGCGGTGCTTTCCGCTGTGTCTGCGTCTGCATCCGCGTCGGCCGTTGCCGTGACGGTGCGGTCGGCTGCCGTGGCCGAGTCTTCGGCATCGGATGCTGCGGTTGCGCCAGACTCGGACTTGGGACGCTTGGTCGCCGAAGCAGCAGCGTTCCGTTCGAGCTTGCGCTTTTGCGGAGGCTGCACCTCGGCACGTAGCCGCGCAGCCTGCTGTTCCTCGAGCGCCTTTTTGATCGCCACGGCGCCCAGACACAGTTCGCGCACCACCTCAAAGGCGAGGAAGCCGAGGATGTCGATGATGTCGTCGTTGGGCTTGACGTCGAGATACGCGTTGGAGTTGATGAACTCGCGGAACTTCTTGGCCTTTCGGAATGTGAAACTCGCCTGCCTGCATTCGGAGTAGTGGACGTACTCGTCGCGCGTCATGCGCCTGGTTGCCTCGTCGGCATCCTTGAGTCTCTGCATGGACGCTTCGTGCGCCTCGATATCGTCGTCATCCTCCTCCTCCTCGCCATCGGCGCCGGGCAGCGCCAGCACGTGCTCCGAGTAGATGGACGAGATCTCCCACGGCAGCCGGATCTTCATCTTGGTCGCCTTCATACTCGGCCCTTCGATCGCTGTTTGGTCGTCGAGCGCATCCATCTCGGTGGCTCCACTCGGAGCGCCGCCTGAGTCGCCCGAGTCCTTGGCGTTCTTGCGCACGTCTTTCCAGCTGAGATACGTGCGCAGTCGGTTGACCTTGGCGCGGTCGTAGCGGATGAGGAAGATGAGATCTTCGGGAGAGAGGTACTTGGATGCACGGCGTTGTGCAAGGCGTCGTGACTGGATGATCATCTCGATGACCTGGCTGCGCACGATGTCTTCGACGAGGCGCGTTACTTCGGGCGCAGGATCAACGACATCGGCAAAGACGAACATCATCTGTGCAATCTCGACTAGGTAGCGGTACTCGGGGGTGGGCGCGTCGGACGTGTCTGGCTCCATTCCGGGCCCGGGAAAGGAGCTCGACGCCGAAGCGGCGCCTTTCGACATTATTGTGTACGTCGGTCGCCTCGCAGTGGGTCAGATGGGGTGGATGCCAAGTGCTGATCGTGTCTCTGCGATGGAGAGGTGGTGGGGTGAGAGCATATCGCGGTCTTGACAGCAGCGGAACGAGACGTGGACGCAGCGCCCCCGCGGATGAGCCGAAAATCCGGGAAAACATTTGTGCGCAAGAGCACTCTAACAAAGCTGAGCTCTGCGGACTGAACGTTGTGGAGCGGCTATGTAAATCAAAGATGTGCCCAAGGTGATTTCGTCATTCGCCAGACTCCTTCGCAAAGTCACAGCGCAGCATGCTCCTTTGGCTCAAAGTTGCATTTCGCTAACCTTGTGCCGGACGTAGTATCCCGAACGGCAAAGCCGAAAGGCTGGGTCCGTGCTCGAGCGCTGGAAGTCATATATACTCTTCGCCGCTTCTGCCTTACCCTCCCTCTCAGCAACTGCATCAACCTCACTTCTACGAACGCAAACATGGTCAACAAGGCAGTTCGAGTCACCAAGGCCAACGGCGCTTTTGTCGAAACGCAGGCCAAGCCGTTCTCTGCTTCGGACTTGGATGCGGATGAGGTGCTGATCAAGAACGTGGCTGTTGCATCCAACCCCAAGGACTGGAAGCTGGCTCTGTACGGGCTTTACGAGGGCATCGAGGGCAACGATGTTGCTGGCCACATCGCGGCAGTGGGTGCCAATGTCAGGCATCTGAGCAAGGACGACCGGGTAGGTACATATCTTTGACATCTTGCCGGGAGATCATCGCGTGCTAATGCTTCTTCTCTCTCTCCACGCGAACCTTGGTCGGCCCAGGTCATCGCGTTCACTCGTATGGCCTCGGGCGACAAGTACGGCGCATACCAACCGTACACGGTGGCACCTGCATGGACGACCGCCAAGCTGGCGGATAATGTCTTCCTGGAGGACGGCGCTACGCTGCCGCTCGCCGTGACCACGGCCTTTGTCGGATTGTACGACAAGCTAGGCCTGCCCGAGCCCACATCTGATGGCAAGCCTGCGCCTGAGGCTGACAAGGCGACGGTACTCGTTTGGGGAGCGAGTTCTTCGGTGGGCGCGTATGTAGCGCAGCTCGCCAAGATCTCTGGCTTCAACACAGTTGCTGTGGCTGGAGCTGCTCGAGATGCTGTCGAGGCGCTCGGGATCCCAGCCAGCAAGATCGTCGACTATCGCGCCGAGCGCGCCACGGTGATTGAGAACATCAACAAGGCCGCGGGCGGCTCTGCTTTCACTCATGTGTACGACTGCATCTCGACGCAGGAGACGGTGAACACGATTGTCGAGCTGCTGTCGACGCCGCCAAACCAGGGCGGCAAGGTGACGACGGTGCTGAACAGCGCGTACGACGACGCCGATGCGAATGCGAAGCTGAGCAAGGAGAAGGGCATCAGCTTTGACAGGACCATGTGCGGCAGCGTACACGCAGACAAGAAGGAGTTCGGCACGCGCTGGTTCAAGCAGGTGACTGACTGGGCGGAGGAGGGCAAGCTGCAGCCGAACAAGGTGCAGCTGCTCGAGGGTGGTCTGGACGGCATCCCTGCGGGCCTCAAGCTGCTCCAGGAGAACAAGGTCAGCAACCGCAAGCTAGTTGGTGAGTAGCCTTGCACACTTGACGCCCGATGCTGTCTCAAGGCACAAAGCTGACAAGGAAGCGGGGGTTGTTTTTTGATGGATGGACAGCACGCATCGCCGAAACCAAGGCTTGATCACCTCGATGAAACGAGCCGGGTTGACCGTTAGTGCCGCACCGGGATCGACGACGTGCTTGCATGTAACCGAGCAACGTGTCTGGCAACGATCCGAACGATACGACCTGCGAGTGCGATTGGTCTGATAAAGACAAGGATAGGAGGCCGGGTGAGCTGGTCATCTGGACCGCAAAAGCCGAGTAGGACGTCTGAGCTTTGACGCGTTCGCGGGCGCGGCTGTTTTCGGACGGACCCGCCCGGCAGGCACATTTTCGGTGCAGAGCGTCGAGGAGTCACACCGAGGAATGCTCGCAGCAAGGGTCCCGCCATGCCGCGTGACTGCGTCCAAGGAGGGCCCTGGCTGCCACTCGGAAAAGAAAGAGCGAAAATCCGCAAATCGAATGTGCAGCCCGTGTTGGGTCGGCGATTTTGTGGGCTAGCAGGTGGGCGGTTTCTTTTGAAATTTTTCGCTGCTGGGTTGGGTCGTGTGGGAAGGCGGCTTCGGAGCGCTTTTCGCGCACTTATCGGGTCTGACTCGGTCTGCAGCCCAGTGCAGCAGCGCTGAATCTTCGCAAACGGCCAAAGTGGGCGGCTGTATATAGGCTTCGGTCGGTTCCAGACGCCATAGGCCCAGTCCAGTCCGTTCAACCACCTCCGCCCAGCGAGATACAAGCTTCGAGACCATGCCTGCTCCTACTACCACTGCGGTTCCTGCCCCCGCCACCGCCTCGGCGGGGCCTTCCACCATGGCGCCTCTCAACGCTGACCTGCTCCAGGTCACGCTCAACGAGTCGGCGGCTGCGCCCGACTTTGACAACCTCGTCTTTGGCCAGAAGTTCTCGCCGCACATGCTCATTGTCGACTGGAACAACAAGACCGGCTGGGGTGTGCCTCACATCAAGCCGTACGGCCCGCTCTCGCTCTCGCCTGCCGCGCCCGCGCTCCACTACGCCAGCGGCCTGTTCGAGGGCATGAAGGCCTACCGCTCCGCCGACGGTTCGGGCAAGATCCGACTCTTCCGCGCCGACAAGAACATGGAGCGCATGAACCGATCCGCTGCCCGTGCTGGCCTGCCCACCTTTGACGGCGACGAGTTCATCAAGCTCATCAAGGCGCTCGTCCGCCTCGACCGCGACTATGTGCCGCACGGCGAGGGCCAGACGCTCTACCTGCGCCCCACGCTCATCGGCACGCCCGACACGCTCGGCATGGGTGTCCCCACCGAGGCGCAGCTCTTCTGCATCTGCAGCCCCGTAGGCAACTACTACTCGTCCGGCTCGGGCTCCAAGCCCGTCAGCCTGCTCGCGCGCACCGACGTCGTGCGTGCCTGGCCCGGCGGAACGGGCTGCTACAAGCTCGCCGCCAACTACGCCGGCGCCACGCAGCCCGCCATGGAGGCGCTCAAGGAGGGCTACCACCAGGTGCTCTGGCTGTTTGGTCCCGACAGGCAGCTCACCGAGGTGGGCGCCATGAACCTCTTTGTCGTCTTCCGCGACCAGTCGGCCGACGGCGAGACCACCAACTACGAGATCGCCACCGCCGCGCTCGATGACGGCACCATCCTGCCCGGTGTGACGCGCGACACGATCCTCTCGCTCCTGCGCGCCTACCAGCAGGGCCAGGTGGCCATCGACGGCCTCCCCAAGCCCGAGCGCATCACCGTGGCCGAACGCAAGGTGACCATGGACGAGATCATGGACAAGGCCGAAAAGAACCAGATCGCAGAGGTGTTCGGATCGGGCACCGCCGCTGTCGTTTGCAGCGTGGACAAGATCGGCTATGAGGGCGTCGACATTTCCATTCCCATCCAGGCCGACGGCATGGGCGTCTTCATGCGCACCATGCTCCGCGAGGTCACCGGCCGCCAGTGGGGCGCCATCGCCAGCCCCGAATGGAGCACCGTCTGCTGAATGAAGCAGCCCAATCACACAATCAGGGCACCACCAATGTCCGCCGTATACCATCTGTCACGCGTACACATACAGAAATAGAACCTCCTTTTGTATGACGAAGGTGCCGAATGCCTGTTGGGATGAGTCTAGATGGTGTAGCGGAAGTAAGGGCTGTCTTCGCCGCGAAGGAGCACGTCGATCTTGCGTCTGTCCGCCTCGGAGAGCGACGGATCGCGGTCCACGCTACACGCCTTTTCTTCGCCAGCCTCGTGCGGCTCGACCTGCGAGAGCGCATGCTGTCGGTCTCTGCGGCGGTTGATGTTCCAGAACCAAAAGCTGGCAGCCGCCGACACCACCACGCCAAACAGCAGCAGACCCGCGCTGGTCGCCGTACCCTTGACGTAGTACGGCTGGTCTTTGGAAGGGAACAGATGCGTGCCCAGCAGAGGACCGCACTGTCCGATCGTGGCAAAGATGACCAGCCCAAGTCCCTTTTTCGACTCGCTCATCTGGTTGGCCATGAGCCACATGTACAGGATGGGGATGAATGGGAAGAGCCCATTGATGATGAGCCAGATGCCCACATAGCGCGCCGCTGTAGATTTGAGGCATGCCAGCATGAGGTAGCCAATCGCGCCAACGATGAGTAGCACCGTGCACACAGGGCCTCGCACCTGGTACCGATCCGTGAGCCAACACGCCGAGAGCGAGATGAAGAACGCCAGCACGTAGGGGGGCGCCGACAGGCCCTGTGCGCGGATGCTTCCGTAGCCCATCTCGGCGATGAGCGTGGGTACGTACACGGGAACGCTCGAGTATCCAACGTTGATGATGAAGAACAGCACCGCTGTGATGTACGACAGCGGGTCGGTAAATGCAGCCGCGGCTTGTTTCCAGCTGATCTGCTCGCGGAGGCGGCTTGTCCACGTCGTCGTCGCCCTGCCCGTCGCTGCGTATTGGATCGCTTCTGGCGGCGGAGGTCGGAAGAGGCGTGCCTCTGCAATCGCCTTCTCGCGCGCCGTCAGGAAGCTCGCCGTCTGGATGCTGTTGGGCAGTGCAAAGTACGCCACAGGCGCCATGATGAGCGTCGGGATACCTTCGATCAGGAAGAGCAGCCGCCACGATGCAATGTCGGTGTGTGCGTTCACGAGGCCGTAGGCAATCGATCCTGCAATCGCCGCCGAGATCGCGCCTGCCGAGACAAACACACCGAAGCGCAGTCCGATCTCGTTTTTGGGATAGAAGAATGACAGGTACAGCACCCAGCCCGTGCCGTAGCCTGCTTCGCTGACGCCGAGGAAGAACCTGGCGGCCATCATTTCGGCCCAGTTGTGCGTGGCTGCTTGGCAGATGCCCGCGATGCCCCAGACCAGCACGCAGAAGGCGATCCACACGCGAGGCGGAAGGATCTTGTAGAAAAAGACCTGGAATTGGAAGACGATGTAGGCAATGTAGAAGATGGTGAGGAGCCACTGGAACTGGGCGTCGGTCATGTGAAGCGCCTTGACCATGCCGGCGGTCTTGGCGTTGCCCACGTTGGAACGGTCGAGAAGCGCGGCCAGATAGAGCAGGAACGAGGTGGCGACGATGCGCACATCGAGCTTGCGCCTCACCACCGCTTCCTCGTCGTCCGACCACCACTTTGTGAGCTTGGCTAGGTACACCTCGTTGGAGGCGGCTCCCTCGTTGCTTTGTGAGCGGTGCATCGTGCTGTCGGTCGAGTCAACCACGCCATCGTGGGGGGTCTTCTTGAAGTCCGTACTCATTGCAGAAGGATGGTGGTGAGAGTACGAGAAGGATGGGCAGACCGAGGGGCTCGAGTCACAGACACAGGTCGAAAGCGGCGGCACCTGTGGGTGGCGCCAAGGCCCGCCGGCAACGGCCGCGTTCTTATTGACGTGCACAACGGCATGCACAACGGCGTGGGGGAACACACGCGATGTGCAGATGGGTGGGGGCGAGTCAGAGCCCCACAATCTCGCCTAGGCCTCGCTTAATGCTCGTCGGCTGCAACAAGGGTTGCCGACTCAAGATGCTGTCCAATGGCTTCTCCCCGGACAGCTCGGTGAATTTCCCCTCTCTTGCACAGCGCTGTTGGCCACCTGAAGCGCGACTTTTCGCACGCCCTTGAGCCGCTTCGGCACGTCGGAGTTTTCTGTAGTCGCCGCTCTGGCCGTCGCTTAGCGCAGAACAGCCAACGATGCCGCGTGACTTTCAATTCTCGCCATCAATTCTCGCCACCAACCTCATCGCTTTGAGTGGAGACCGAGCAGCGTCCCACGCGGTCATTTCACATCTCCGCATTCCATACGGTACCGCCTGACACACAAGCACTCGAGGTGAAAATGGGCTGGAATTACTGTGGCTTGCAGCCGCTCTGCAGGCGATGGGCGCTCTAGACGAAGAGCGCACGTGTGAGACTGCCGGGCCCAAACCCGACGTTCGCTTTGGAAGAGACAATCGTGTTGCCCTGTGGGTCAATTCGGTTGGTCCACGGCGTGCCACGCTGCGCAGGTGGGGGCAGAGCATCGTCGAGCAGGCGCATGATGCCGATCGCCTTCTCATCTTGGTACGGACGCGTGACCACCTGCACACCCACCGGCAGCCCCGCCATCTTGGTGGCATCGTACGCCGTCTTGTACAGCAGGAAGTTGGCCACTCGGCTCGTCTCCTTCCACCGCCTGTCGTTCGCCCACATGTTGTACGCCTTGCGCTGCTCGGCCGACGCGTGTTCAAAGTCGCTTTCGCGGTGCGAGTCCAGCTTTGGGTCTACGCGCAGCACGGGCAGCACGGCAGATGGCGCATTGGTGATGTTGTACAGCACCGTAGAGCCCGCCATGGCCGAATTGTGGTCGGCGCCTCCGTGTGGGACGGCGGGGCAGGCTTGGGTGGGTGCAATGAGCGCGTCAAGCGCCAGATCATCCCACATCACATGGTTCCAGCGGTCGACAAAGCGCTCGCGGCGCTCGAGCACGTCGGCATGCTCGGCCGCGCTCATGCGCATCATCGACCCGGCCAGCTCGGCGTAGATGGGGTCGCGAATGATGTAGCGCACGAAGAACACGATGACGCCGCGCAGCCAGCGCGGGATACGGCTGAGTCGCACCGGCAGCTGCACCTGCGAAATCAACTTGTCCTTGCCCAAGTAGCTCTCGAGGTTGCGGTATCCGTCGGCGGTGAGCATGCGCAGGAAGAGCCGCATCACCTCGAGCGTCTGGAGCTGCCTCGGCTCAATCTCAACCAGCTCCACCCGTTTGTCCGAGTGTTTGGCCTTGAGCGCAGCCACGCACTCGAGAATTGCCCGGTACACCGCCGGTGTGGTGCGGTAGATGCCGTCGCCAAGCACGTAGCCGATCCTCAACGGCGTACCTCTGGCTTCCGCCATGCCCAGTGGATTGAGCCATGCTTCGTTGATCACCACGGCCGAAGAGTCCGACAGCTTGAACTTGGCCATCGCCTCGTCATGCTCCACAGCCTCGCGCAGCACCGCAGGGTCGTCCTTGTCTCTCGGCGTTCGCAGCCACGTCGGGACGTGCTGTCTAGCAACCTCGACGAAGAGCGTCTCGACGTCGGCAGCGCTTCGGCACATCGGACCTGCAACCGCCTTGATCGACTCGAATCCCTTTCCAAAGTCGCACATGCCGTTGTATGACCATCTTCCGGGACTCGGCTTGACCGTGTAGATGCCCGAGTGGTGCGACGGGATGCGCAGACTGCCTGCGATGTCTGTACCTAGGCCGGCGGCCGACCCATCGCACGCAATGATAGCCCCTTCGCCCCCCGAACTTCCGCCCGACGTGTGGTTGGTGCTGTACGGGTTCAAGGTGCGCCCGAATACGGGGTTGGTGCTCTCGAATGTCATGAATGTCTGCGGGATGTTGGTCTTGACGTAAGTCAGCGCACCGAGATGCTCGCAGATCGACACGACGCTGGCTGATACGGGCTCGGCCGGCTTGGCGATCCAACCGGAAAAGCCGATGGTCGTCTTCTGACCCTTGACGTGAAACATGTCCTTGATCGACAGCGGCACTCCATGCAGCGGTCCGACCAGCGATCCCGTACGGTCAAAGTGCGCATCGAGCTCAGCTGCACGGTTGAGCGCATCGTCGATAAAGACCTCGGTCAGGCAGTTGGTGCGGATCTGTGCTCGGCGGGTCGCTCGCACGTAGGCACAGAGCACCTCGGTCGACGTCCAGCGGCGCTCCTGAATGCCCGAGGTGATGCCGGCAATGTCGCTCGAAAGGATGTCAAGGTCCTTGGGGCCTAGTCCCACGTCCAGGCCGTGGTAGGGGCTCTTGCTGCTCTGCACAACCACGGCTACCTGGGACGCCTCGTGGGGCAGGTCATGGCGCAGGGCTCGGTCGCGCTGCGCGACATGGCTCTCGATGGCTCGTTGCGTCACGGACTTGCCTGTGAGCCCAAGCATGTTGATTGCTTCCTATAGTTGTGATTGGCCAGCTGTTGTAAGTCGAAGAGAGATGGTGTTGTTCGTCAGAGCCTTGAATGCGGGGCAAACGTGGATCAGTGCATGCGGGACATCTGGACGGTTACCACATCCTCGGCGGCTACCGCACTTGTGTCACACGAGATCTGTGCGTCCGGCTTGTCGGCTTCATCGGCGTTCCGACTGGCCGAAGAAGGAGGATCACCCGATCAGACATGTGGATGGCCGATTCACGCGCTCCCGATCCAGGTCAAAATGCTGCTGCTGCTGCTGCTGCTGCTCGGCCAGCCAAGCCAACTTGCGCATCGCTGAGGCCGAGGCGGGAAATTTTCGAACGGATCGGCAGCACGTTCGCTCTCCGCCCCGCGTGTGCGCGTCGATGGCACGTCGCGAGTGTGCGTTTCATGCGGCCGTCTTGGATTAGCTGCACGTCCACGTTCCCTCCGCTCGCTCATTATTCAGTGCATTGCCAACGACGCGCGCTGTTGAATTGCGCATTACACTCGCCTTACCCTTTGGCAGCTGCACGAGGGGTCCATCTGCTCCGAGCCGGGCACGTTTTGCGCTCAACACCATGCACGTTGCTCATGCGGCCCCGTCTTCTCGCCACCTCCAATTCGATGGCTGCCACCGCCACCCCGACACTGCCAGGCTACGGCGCCCGCCCAGGCTGCAGACAGCGCGCAAAGAGAGACAGGAGAGAGGAGTTGTGCTACTGACAGACAGATAAGTGAATGCCAAGGCAAGTGACAGACAGAAGAGAAGGCGCTCCGTTGCTACGGGACCAGGCAGCCACGGAGGATCTGCAAGTGTTGTACTCCGAGTCTGGCTCGGCGACGCATGATCCTCCACAACTGCGCACGCCGGGTCCATGCATGAATGCTGCCTAAGGCCCTCGTTGCCATGCCCAAGCGGGAGGAGCTGCATCTACCTGAGCATGTGGTACAGACTGTCGGAGCGATCGTCGGAGGCATCTCCTAGCTCTTCCTTGGCTCGCAAGAGCCACCTGCCGGCTCCGTTGTCGTCCGACCTGAGCAGACTTTCTCAAGTGTTGTTCTCGCCACCCCTTTCCCAGCTCAAAGAGACAGCATACATCTGTGCCTTCCTTTCCTCCTCCACCCATCACCCTCGTTGCGAAGCATCCTACTTGCTTCCCTCTTTGGCCGATAGCTCCTCCTACCTGCAGCCTCTTGTCCAAGCACAAACTCATTTGCAACCATGCCTGCGCCGGTCCTGAACACCAACGGCTCGTCGAGCCAGTACCACGTCCAGTCGGTACCCACACAGGTGCGCACCATCTGCTGTATCGGCGCCGGCTACGTCGGTGGTCCTACCTGCTCGGTCATCGCGCTCAAGTGCCCTCACATCAAGGTCATCATCGTCGACGTCAACCCGGTGCGGATCGCTGCGTGGAACTCGGATGTGCTGCCCGTCTTCGAGCCTGGTCTCGACGAAGTCGTGCGCGAGTGTCGCGGCAGGAACCTCTTCTTCTCGACCGACATCGATGCGGCCATCCAGGAGGCGGACCTCATCTTTGTCTCGGTCAACACGCCCACCAAGACCTCGGGTGTCGGCAAGGGCTTCGCCGCCGACCTGCACTACGTCGAGGCGTCCACGCGTCGCATCGCCTCGGTCGCAACCAGCTCCAAGATCATCGTCGAAAAGTCCACTGTGCCATGCCGCACGGCCGCGAGTATGCGCACCATCCTCGAGTCCAACTCGAGCTACACTGCGGATGGCACGCTCATTTCGTTCCAGATCCTGTCCAACCCCGAGTTCCTCGCCGAAGGCACGGCCATTCGCGATCTCTTGGCCCCGGACCGTGTGCTGATCGGCTCGCTCGATACCAGCCAGGGCAAAGCTGCCGCCAAGGCGCTCAGCGAGGTCTACCAGAACTGGGTCAGCCCCTCCAAGATCTACGAGACCGGACTGTGGTCGTCCGAGCTCAGCAAGCTCGCCGCCAACGCTCTCCTCGCGCAGCGCATCTCGAGCATCAACTCGCTCTCGGCGATCTGCGAGGCCACTGGTGCCGATGTGGACGAAGTCGCCCACGCGTGCGGTCTGGATGCCCGCATCGGACCCAAGTTCCTCAAGGCTTCGGTCGGATTCGGCGGCAGCTGTTTCCAGAAGGACATTCTGAACCTCGTCTACCTCTCCGAGTCGCTCGGATTGAGCGAGGTGGCCGACTACTGGCACCAGGTGATCAAGATGAACGAATACTCCAAGGAGCGCTTTGCACGCAAGGTGGTGAGCACGCTCTTCAACACGATCACCATGAAGAAGATTGCCGTGCTCGGCTTTGCGTTCAAGAAGGACACGGGCGACACGCGCGAGTCGGCAGCCATCACGCTGTGCAAGTACTTCCGCCAGGAGCGCGCATTGATCTCGATCTACGATCCCAAGGTCACCACCAACCAGATTATGCTCGACCTCACCGAGCCCGGCGTTGTCGACGATGCAGAACAGGTCAAGAAGCAGGTGACGATTGCCACGTCGATGAAGGAGGCTTGCGTCGATGCCGAGGCGGTCATCATCTGCACCGAGTGGGACGAGTTCCGCGATGCATCCCCACAGGACTGGGCCGAGATCTATGCCTCCATGAAGAAGCCCGCGTTTGCCTTTGACGGACGTGGAGTGGTGGACGCAAAGATCCTGCGTGCCGTCGGCTTCAAGGTGCACACTGTTGGAAAGGGACCCCTGATCGTCGACCCCATCTGGGCCTAAATCTCGCAGATCCAATCGGAATCTTTGTGCTCCCTTCGCAATCATGGCCGGCACAGTATACCCAATCACAAGCCATCCTTCTCGTCCTCATGCCCTTCTTCCAAGATCCGTTTCTTTTGTGCCTTCAATAGACCGTCTACTCTTTTATCGCGTTTGTTTGGATCTCTTATCGCGCCTACTTGAATCCTGTGTTGCTATCCTTGCTGTTCGAATGATACAATGTCAATGAGCCGGCGCAGAAGATCTGTGCTGGTATCAGATGAGAAAGTGAAGATGTGTCTGGCAGACGATCCAGAAAGGCAGAGCGACCGCAATGACGGCCATCAGATCCTGCCCCCACCTCCTCGCCGTCCGCCTTTTTGAGCCGACCGAAACGCCTCGCCTTGCGCTGTCGGTATTGCCGGACACGAAGTCGTCGTCGTCGTCGTCGCGCTTTCTCGGATTCGACAAGGGCAGGTATCCGGATGAATTCCGCGAGTGAGCCCAGCGCGGCCACACGGCCAACAGAACAAGGCTGAGGACAAATGCCGGCAGGTAGAGCTTGGTCCAAATGCCGATCTGGTCCGGCAGAAGACACGGTGTGTATGCCATAGTTGCGTGCTGTTGCTCTCCACCAGCTGTCGGCGACTCCGGCGGCGAGAAGAGACTGAGGCGCGCAAAGCCTGGTCGGCGAACACCCTCGGTCATCGAGACCGACTTGACCGTCAATTCGGGGATTTCACCCAGTGCAAAGCCATCGACGCTGCCGTCTTCTGCGACAGGCCCAGCTGGTCTGCGGTGACGGTACTCGCAGTGGTCGTGGTCGTCGCCGCTGAATACCGCTGCGGGATCTATTGATCGGAGCACCCAGTCTGACACGGACTCGGAGACCATGTTCTGGTACGTGGATCCGCGGTCGGTGCCCTGGTGCAGCGGGCGTGCTGCCTCCCTCGTCACGCCATGCTGTACAGATCGAGCCGCGTCATCGCAGCCCGCGCCCTCGGGCCTGTAGAGCGGGACATGCGTCAGCAGCACCCTGGGCACGCGGAAGCCACCGCGCTTGACCGAGTCGACAAACTCGTAAGTCTCGTTGTACGCTCTGTGCGCCTCCTCTCCCAGCGCACCATCGAACTCGCCCTGGTGCGCCGGAGCGAGATAGGTGTCAAAGGGCCCTCCACCTTGGCGCTGCATACCTACGAGATCCTGCGCATTGACCAACAGCAACTCGTGCGTGGCACCCAGCGAGACATCGGTAGAGGCTAGAATTCGACCATTGAGGCTGGAACGCAGAAATGGATTGCGATCCTTGACGACGAAGCCGCCGCCGTCGATCTTCATGCCAAAGTCGCGGTTGAAGCGCTCGATCGCATCGTCGGCAGCGTTGACGTCGATGCGCCGCCCCGACGTCGAGGTGCCGGGCAGGCCGATGTCGTGGTTGCCGGATAGGTGGAAGGTGGGGATGTACATGTTCGCCGAGGTTCGCGGGACGATGAGGTGGCGGGTGCTGCCGAGCGTCGCCTTGGGTGCCTCCCAGTCGGCCTCGCGTGGCCGCCAGAAGATGCTTCGGAAGCGCAGGACGAGAGCGGCCCACTCTTGTTCGGTGCGATGCCGCCTGCCTCCGTCGGTCAGATCGCCCATCCACACCACAGCATCAGGCGGTTGTGCGAGCGTGGTGCTTGGTCTAAAGCGATCTTGCGCCCGTGGCTGCCAGGGCAGGATGTTTTCTCGCATCATCCACTTGTTCGGGTTGACTGCGAGACTTGTCCAGACATTCTTGAGGTAGTTGTCCGAGAAATGCCTCACGACTGGGTACAGCAGCGTGGGGAAGGGCAGGCTGGGGTATGTGTCGCGGTCGATGATCTGCGGATCTGTGACGAGAAGAATGTGTACTGGCGGGCGCGCGTCGATGCCTGCCGGCAGCGCTTGCTCGGGCCATTGACAGCGATTGGCTGCATCATGGAAGACGCCGCGTTCGCCGTAGAAGAGGAGTGCGAGCCAGAGCAGCCGGAGCGTGACGACGTGTGTAGGCCCCAGGAGGAGGCTAAGCACGTATTGCACCAGCTCGACGGCTCGACGAGGGCGCGCTCGGTCTCGCATGGCTCCCGTTGGAGTCAAGGGATGGAGATCAACACATCGACCGAGGCTGAGATGACGCTGGGCTCCGGCTATGGAGGTTGAAAGACGCCAGCGAGGAGGATTCTGGCTTTGCGGATGGAAGTCGAGGATGCAGACCAACGTTGAGCTGAGTCGAGAGGTTCCAAATGGTCGCAACAAATTCGGATGGCTGGTCGGCGTCTACGGCGTCAAGAGTGTGAGAACAATGCTTGTCTTGGCGTTGCTGGAGAGCTCCGGCTCATCTCAGAAGCTGCAAGGGCTCAGGACGATCCTCACCGCGCATAGAGGCGCATCTGCTCCCCAGCCTACTATTAAAAAATGGCCGAAGCTGTCAATGTCATACGAATGTAACATTGCGATTTTATGAATTTTGGCTCCACTCGCACTTTTATTTAATCGGCTGTGCAGATGCAAGCGAGGCAGCAGATCGCCTTTTTTCTCGGCATGCTCGGCGGAGAGGGTGTGTGGGAGTGTGACCGCGTTGGGCGGAAATTTCGGAGGCGGGTGAGCCGCAACGTCACGGGTCGTTGCCGTGCTGTCGATGGCACTATCCAACCCCTCCTCTGGACCTTCCATCATCGGCGACCACCAGACAGCGGATCACAGCTCGGATTCCTGCCACTTGCTTTCTTCTCGAATCCTAGCTTGACGGCCGCAAGAGAAGCTAGTGTCGTTGCGAAGATGCTGTCCAATGGTCACGCGACGTGCTTGCGAATGCCTGGTCGGCTCGCACACCAAAGCCTGGGCACTGTTCCAAGGGCCCAGCTCTTGCCTAACAATGCAGCGCTAAGATCGCTAAGCACTGCCACCTGCACTTCGGTCTCACGCCGACCGGCCGCGAGCACAAGGGCATCTGCCTCGACTTTCGCACCGACATTGCGAACCGCTCCATTGCGGCGCACATTGACGACGTCGGCACCGCGCTCGTCGCAAAAGCCCTTCAGCTTTCTCACCGCCTATGCATTTCAAGGAAAACCCCGCCACTCGGAGGATGCGATGCAAGAGGGCGACTCGTCATCCTCGGCCGCGGCGGACGAACCGGAAGCCTCCGCTTCGGGAGCAGCCGAGGACGGCGCAAAACGAGGTCAGATCGGCTTTCCCGCCGACAGCGAGATCGGAAGATGGCGTGACGAGCTGCTGCGAGGCGGCGAGGCGGGCGAGGACTCATTGATGTGCACCTCGATGGGTTCCGCAGGCGATGTAGCCATCGGCGTTGCCGACGGCGTGGGCGGATGGACCGAAAACGGCATCGATCCCTCGCTCTTCTCGCAGGCGCTCATGTTCTACGCATCCAAAGCGGCAGCCTCAGCACCGGCAGGGTCTTCAAGCACAAACGGCAACGGCGCACCCAACCGCATCCTCGCCGAAGCCTTTGAGCACGTCCTCAAGGAGCCGCTCGTCGTCGCGGGTAGCGCCACCGCATGCATCCTCACCATGGACGCCTCCAACGGCACATTACACTCTGCCAATCTCGGCGACTCGGGCTTCGTCATCCTGCGCCAGGGCACGGGCAAGCACGGCGTCTTCCATGCCAGCCCACCACAGCAGCTCGGCTTCAACACGCCGCTCCAGCTCGCCAAGCTGCCCAAAGAGTGGATTCAGGAAGGCTCCATCTCCAACACGCCCAAGGACGCCGCCGCCTGGGAGTGCACGCTTCAGCATGGCGACCTCATCATCGTCGGCACCGACGGCCTCTTTGACAACGTCGACGCAAAGATTGAAATCCCCCAGTTTGCCAAGTTCATCAAGGAGAAGCACCACGCTTCCTACGCCGCACGCCACGCGGGCGCCGGTAAGCCCGCGGATAGCTTGCAGGAGGACAGAGAGTTTGTGCAGGTGCTGGCCACCAATCTGATCGAATACGCAAAGATCTGCCAAAACTCCACCACCAAGCAGAGCCCCTTCGAGCGCGAGGCGGCCCGGTACGGCATTCACTTTCCAGGCGGCAAGATCGACGACGTGGCCACCGTCTGCTGCCTGGTCATCGAGCGCTGAGCGCATCTGAACCCCGGCATGCTTTTCTAATCACAGATCCTGTACTTCTAGTCGATCGCATCACATTCAACAGTCTCGAGGCGTCTGTGCGGTGTTGTGTCTTTGCTTTGGCCTGCTGTGCGGTAGGGTTTGGCGGTGAGACTGAGACGCGGGCTTGATTTTGCCGTACTCGTCACAGAGGCCGATTCCTCCACTTTTTCGAGAATTGGCGCAGCGCTCCGCATGGACTCTCCATCACTCGCGATCGCACCCGCTTCCATCACCTCTTCCATTCTCACCATTCTTGCAGAACCATCTTCACCACAGGCACTATGTCGGAACAAAGTAGCTCGCATCGATACGCCTCTGGCGACGTTCGAGACGAAGACGACGTTGCGTCGTGGGAGTCTCTGTCCGACACATCCGATACCTCGTCGACATCCTCCAAGCCTGCGCTCGCCAAGCTTCCTACTCTGCCAGATCTGCGGTTTGAGCAGTCGTACATCGCAACCATCCGCGGATTCCTGCATGAAGATTCGCCAAATTCTGCCGATGCAGACACGACGCATGGACACGAGCACAAGGTCAAGGTCACCCGCCCCGCGCCCGACGAACATACCCAACTCTGGCTAGGAAACCTCCGTGTCGAATGGTAAGTACTCAACAAGTCTACGCTGATATTACACCGTGATAGTATCCTTATCTACTTTCCTTTGCGTTTGGGACAGGTCGTCGGTGTTGTGGGTGACGGTGCGCGATCAGCTTCTCTCGCCCCTGGTCCAAGGCGCCGTTTGGGGCGTGGGAGGCATTCTGCTCACGCAGTTCCGACAGTACTTTTCGGCAACAAGTCGCTCAGCAGGCGCAGGAGGCAGGAAGGCAACGCCCCAATCTTCTGTGATGCGAAGCTTGGGCCTGTCCAAGCGCTAGTGCTCGCCCACTGGAGGGTGCAATGTCAGTTATACCCGCTTGCATCACAATTCTGGATGTCTCGCCTCTTGGCTCGCCAAAGCGTGCGACCAACTTTGACTCAAGTTCTCGTGTTTCACACCGAGCTAGGACCAAGTTATGATCATTGGAGACGCAAACTTTCTACAGGTGACTTTTAGCCTGGGGTTGTGCCTGGGACCAGGAGTAAACGAGGCTGTGGCCCAAGTCGACGTCCTGGGCGGCGATTTTGGCGTCGGACGAAGCTGCAGCCTTGAGTTGGGCTACGAGGCGGGTGAGATCGGCAAATCCGGCGGCGCCGTCCTTGCCGCCGATCCAGAGGCGGGCGAGGTGGACGTCATGCTGGATCTCGCGCTCGTCGATCTGCACAGCTGCGACCTGCTGCAGCTTGCTATCCTGAGCAAACGTGCTTGCCTTCCACGCGGTATGCTGCAGCAGCAGCGCCGAGGCATGCACGGCCATGATTAGATCGAGCAGGTACCGAGTGAACCTCAGATCAGCCGACTTGACGTGGCGCTGGACGTCGAGCTTGCCCAGCACGCCTGCAGTCTCGCGGATCACGCTGCCCAGGAAGCCGAGCTCGTGCTTGAGCTGCGCCGCGAGCTGTGCGGGCAGCGAGGTGAGGATGGCCGTGGTGTCTTCAAAGAACTCGTGGAGCGCCTGGCCGTTGGACTGGACGAGCACGCGAAGCACGTCGAGCGAGAGGATGGCAGGCGTGCCTTCCCAGATGCGCTCCACAGTTGCGTCGCGCAGAATCTCGCCCATGCCTACCTCCTCCATGTAGCCCTGTCCACCAAACGCCTCGAGGAGCGTGAGGTAGCCCTCGGATGCGCGCGTGGCGACAAACGCCTTGAGCGCGGGCGTGAGCAGTCGCAACCGTGTCTGGTCGCGACGGCTTGCTGTGCCCGCCTCGCTCGCTCCCATCAGCAACACGTTGGTGAAGAAGATCTGCAGGAACACTCGGTACAGCACCGTCACCTTGAGGAGCTGGTCCGTGTGCAGCGGCAGGCGGTCGAGCTTACCGCCTCCAAGTGCAGGTCGGATTTTGGCATAGGCGGTGGCGGATCGAAGACCCCACGAGAGCGCGCCCACGGCACCGCCCGCCGAGTAGAGACGCGTGATATTGAGCACCGATGAGATCGTAGCCACACCGCGACCCAGGGGTCCAACGAGCTCGCCGACGCAGCCGTCAAGCTCAAGCTCGGCGGTCGGGAGGTACTTTGTGCCGAGCTTCTTCTTGAGGCGGTGGACACGGATGCCGTTGAGCTTGCCCGTACGATCGTCGCGAATCTTGATGAGGAAGAGCGAGAGGCCCTTGGAGCCCTGCGAGAGGTCCGTATCGGTGCGCGCGAGCGCCAGCGAGATATCGCCGTCCGTGGCGGACGAGAACCACTTGAAGCCATTGATGACAAACTTGTCTCCAGGCTCCGCTGCCTTGTTGGGCTGCATGGGCGTGGCCGTGGTCTCGGTGCGCGAGACATCGGAGCCACCGGGGCGTTCGGTCATCCACTGTCCGGCGGTCCAGGCTTTGGAGGCATCGGTGGTGGTCAAGCGCGGAATGATCTCGCGCTTCTGTGCGTCGGTTCCGAACAGCTCCAGCACCCTCACGGCGCCGTCGGACATGCTGATGGGGCAAAGGATGACCTTGGACACTGGCGAGAACATGACGTTGCGTGTGAAAGCAAACAGTCGGGCGTGGGGGCCGATCTTGTCGCGGCCACCGCCATGCTTGGCGTCGCTCGAGGGGTAGGACTCGGCGACGATGCCCTCGCGCGCACTCACCTGCTTGAGGCGCTTCCAGCCCTCGCCCGTGGCGAGCTTGTCGATGCGCTGGCCCCAGGCGTCGTACTGGATGAGGGTCGGTTCATGCTGCGGACCGTCGAGCGTAGCGCCAATGTCGGTGTACTCGCCTGCCACCTTGTCGCCGAATGAAGCGAGGCTGTCGAAGAGACGCTCGATCTCGGAGGCGGGCAGCGCTGCCGGACCCGTCGAGAGCAGACGCAGGATAGTCAGACGCAGCGCAGCGTCCGACGACCACGGTGAGCCAACGCGAAATCGCTCAAACTGGAATCCCTCTTCGGCACGCATGTCTAGTAGGCAGAGCTGGGCAGAGAAGGATGATGGAAGTCGAAAAGCGTGCGAGCGACAAGCATGTGGCAAGGCCCTTTAGACTGTTTGTGCGGGGTCGAAGCGTGAGGACCGCGTGCGGGGTAGGCTGACAGGCGGGCCGCCGTCCTACAGTGCATGTTGCACAGCGCTGTGCTGTCTGGGTCCGGCCCGCGAATTTACCGGCAGCGTCTGCAAACGCTCAGGGCTCCTCGCCGCATTTTCACGCGTGGGCGGCAGCGACCGCAACCGCACACATCCGCATCCCGAGCTTTCGGCACCTGCTCAAAGGGCCGTAACTTCACAGCCAGCCAGGTCGGCAAGGTCCGCCTATGTGATTGCGGAGTCTATAGCGGGAGTGTTGCACCAAGATTGGATATTGCTACCATGAGCAATCGGACGCTCATGAAGAAGCCTGATCGGCGCTCTTGGGAGGAATGTTGTAAAACTGGCGCGGCAGAATGTCGATCATCTCGGGCGTGAGCTGGTCGAGCGAGCTGACGCCGAGAAGGCGCATTCCTCGGTGGATCTCGTCCTCGAGGATCTGGATGGCGCGCGTAACGCCCGCCTCACCGTAGCCCGACTGCGCATACAGGAAGGGCCTGCCGAGACCCACCGCCTTGGCACCGAGCGCCACCGCTTTGAGCACGTCGGTGCCGCGGCGCACACCGCCGTCCAGGAACACTTCGATCTTGTCAAACAGGTCCGGGCGGCGCTGGCGGAGCTCCACGAGGACGTCGATGGGCGCCGGTGCGTACTCGAGACTGCGACCGCCGTGGTTGGAGATGACGACACCTTCGACGCCGTGCTTGACGGCGAGCTCGACGTCCTCGACGGTCTGGATACCCTTAAGGTAGAGCGGAAGCTTGCATGTCTTGCGGAACCACTTGATGTCGTCCCAGGTGAGGTTGGGCTCGATGTAGCCCGAGATGGCCTGTGCGACTCCGCCGCCCTTGGCCTTGACGTCCTTGCCGTGGTCGACGCCCATCTCGACCTCATCGCCCTTGACGCGCATGTCGCGCTCGCGCTTGCCCATCACAGGCGCATCGACGGTGAGCATGACGGCCGAGCATCCCTTGTCCTCGACCTTTTTGAGGATGCGCTCCGACGCCGCGCGGTCCTTGTTGACGTAGAGCTGGTATACGATTGGCTGGCCTTCCTTGCGGTTGTCGAGCATCTCGTCGAGTCCGACCGAGGCGTTGGCAGAGATGCCCTGGATGATCTGTGCTTTTCCTGCGCCGCGCGTCAGGTTGAGCTCGCCATCCGGATGGCCAAGCTTGGCCATGGCGGCAGGCGAGATGTAGACGGGCAGCGACGAATCGTAGCCCTTGCCGTGGGAGTCGATGAGCTTGACGGAGGAGTCGACTTCGCCGATGGCACGCAGGATGCGCGGGCGGAAGACAATGCGCTGGAAGGCAGCGCGGTTCTGTGCATACGTCACCTCGTCGTCCGCAGCCGACGAGTAGTAGGCCCACGCCTGATCCGAGAGGATGGTGTTGGCGATGCGCTCAAAGTCGTCCAGGTTGAGCACGCCGCCCAGACTCGGCAGGTTCTCGCGCGCCAGGCGCCTCTTGCGGTCCTTGTCGGACTCCTCACCTGCCTGCTTGATCTGCACCGTGCTCGGGTCGACCTGGCCAATGTGCTTGGATGCGTCGAGGTTTTCCTCGAGCGCCGTGGGCGGGTGGATAGGCTCGTACAGCTCCGTCACGTCCTTGCCGGCGTTCTTGAGGATGATGTTGCGGCCGCCCGGATGGTTGTCGACGAACTCGGTCACGTCGTACACCTCGCCCTTGATGGCCACCCACAGGCCCTTGCCGCCTTCGGAGGGAAGCTTGTTGTACTGCGCCACGGTGTCCATCGAGATGAGCTTTCCCTCGGGATCCGACGCTGCAGTCGGAGAGACCTTGGACGGTGGCGACCTTGCCTGTTCGTTGTGGACCTCGCCCCTCGGAACTGCCGACGCGAGCAGCGCCAGACCGACGAGACCAGCGACCATGCCGCCCACATTCCGAGACGCGGACGTGGATGCTGTCGCCTTTGTCGAGGACGAAGAGGAGCTGAGCGCGCGGCGCTGGACCATGCGTGGTGCTGGCGAGGGGAGCAGCTGGGCGCCGCTCTGGCTCGCGCGCATCGAGGCTCGGACTGTGCTTCGCAACATTCTCGCTGATGTTTGTAACTGAAAGCCACGGTGTGTGCTGTGACCAGGGGTGCGCGAAGGTGTTGACTCGGCGTGAGGTTATATGGGATCCTTGCAAGATGACGAGGGACATCCAAAGCCACTGTCGGGCGTCGGTCAATTCATCCTCGTCCCCCACTTGTTGCGAAGCTTTGGGCGACCAGCTGCAGCTCTGAGCGCGGGGGGTGGGGGAGGGCGCGAGGGGAAATACACGCAGCGCCAAGAGAGTTGGCCGTATTTCCGGCCTCGGTAGATCCGCTACACCCACTCGCGAGCTCGATTTGAAATGAACTCGCTGCGGAGCGGTCCGAAGGGCGGCCGGCTTCCGCTCGTGTCCTGCTCGCGTGCTGCTGCTCAGATTCTCGAGTGGACCCTGACAAAAGCGCGTCTGTAATTCGATTGCAAAGTCGGCGTAATCTTCGGCCGACGGACGGCGACCTACGCGGGACGATCTTTTCTCAGCTCTCCGTCCGTTAGGCCCTGTTCCGAACGGCGGACGGATCTCGATACGTGACAAAATCTCACACTGCTCAAGCCTCAAAAAATGTTCGCCCGGTGACGTCAACCTGCCAGCGGAGACTCGGAGGGTTCTTGTCTTGCAACACTCACTCGATGCCAGAGCCTACATGGTAGAGATCATCGATTGGCGAACGGGCCGGCAAGACTAGGAAACAATCAAAGACGAGCATGTGTAACAAAACGCGAAACTGGGGTCAAGGAAAGGCTCGCTTGAACAGAGGCGGCCGGACAAGGCAAATGCAGAGGGTATCAATGAAGGAGGATGCAGAAAAAAGGAGGCTGGAGCCATGAACTCAGGATGAAGGCGGGTCATGCAGCTTCGGCGACGATGCGGCGCGACGACATCCTGGGCGATGTGCGGCGGCTGG